GCAGTGCAGGAGTAGCCCCACTGCAAGGGTTAATAAAAGATGTGTCTGGAGTTCTTCTTTATATCACTTACAATGGATGCGGCTCCTTGATGTTCAAAAGTTTTAGTTTCCTGCAGCATAAGCTGGTCCCCTGAGCTCTTGCCCTGATTTCCTGTTTTAGGGTGGCTCCCTTCCCTTGCAGGGTCCTATGGAGTCACCCTTGTGTGTGCCGGTAAGCTGTGTGGGTCTCCCCAAACACACAGGTACGGCAAGGCAAGACACTTCTCTGCTTCCTGCTCCCCTCTATTCCTCCTCCTCCTACCTCCAAGCTAGTAGATGGAAAGTTGCTGGAGACTGCTCTGTCCCTTGTGCTCTTGTACTGGACAGGAAGTTCAGGGAAGTTGAGCTGAGAGAGTTGGAGCTGTTCGGCAACATCATGACGTTAAGTGCTTGGGTGAAAATTAAACAAAATACTTTGCTGGGCAAAAAAAAGTTTGAGAGTTTAATACTACTTTGACTGGCCATACACTGCTCAAAATGTGGACATTGTGTGGCCCCGTTTTTTTCCCCTCCGTTCAACAAACATCGAATATTTTTATTTTTATTTTTTTTGTTACTGGTCTGAAAATTCTCAGCTGAACTGCAACTACAGCCAATCAGCAGAATTCACTGTTTGGGGTATTCTGGCAGCGGCACACCCACAGCTGTCAGTATGCAATAGTCCAGTGGAGAGGATGGAGTATGTTTTCTAATCGGGCCCGTGTATGGCCAGCGTTAAGCAAATCATTTTTGGTGAATTCGTTGTAAAGTTTCCTACCCGAAGATCCTGCCAGTAACATCGCTTCCAGGAGAACTGAAGAAGCCGTGAAACATCTTCAACAATGCAGAACAAGTCTGGTTAAATGCAACCAACTACCAGTACTACTAGCTATTCCAGAGATAGGCAACCCCGGCACTCCAGCTGTAGTGTAACTACAAGTCCCATAAGGCATTGCAAGACTGACAGCCACAGGGATGTTGGGATTTTTTTTTTCTTGCAGAACTGGAGTGCCGATGATGCCTACCCCTGAGCTATATCATGCAACCCACTGTGCACAACTAAGAAGAAAAAAAAGTTTGGGTTTGACACTGTATACGCAAGAAAATTGTATACAGTGAGGCAAGATGGCAAGCATACTGAGAACTCGATTTTGGGTTCCCATACACTTTAGTGATCCGTTTATGTGCCAATATAGATAAAATACAGAGGGGACACACACGACACTATGGTGCATTGTAGTATATACAGCTGTCACCTCTGTATACCATGGTAGCACATCGTACATAGATCACACAACCAGAAAAATAATACAAAGATTACAAATAAATTATTAACATAGTAAAATGATAGAGTCATATATTAGTAATAGACGATATATAAACACCGGCACAGTGTACAGTGTTATATAGAGAGCAGATTCAGCATTTTATATTGTTATATACAGGAGGGCTGAGCTGTCATATAAACAAAGTAGATGATCTTATTATATATTATGTCTATTACTACTGACTGTACCAATATGAAATGTAATACTTCTATCATTACTACTGACTATACCGATATGAAATGTATTACTTCTATCACTACTGACTATACCGATATGAAATGTATTACTTCTATCACTACTGACTATACAGATGTGAATGACAGACTCTTAAAGGACGGGCCGATCCATAAATTAGACTCTGAACAGTAGCTGATCCCTGTGTAATCTAGAGCTTTCTGCACTGTATATTACAACAATAAAAACACATGGTCATATAAACATATACAGGCACGCGGGCCTATCGGCACACACAGGCAAAGGCTCCTATCAGCACACAGGGGCACATATCTATACCAGTGACTCCATAATTCCATCAGAAATATCAATGAACAGTCATATATACGATAAACTCAATTTACACCTCTACAATACATTTGCTGTAATGATTGGCATTTTCTGCCATGTGACTTTTTAGCTCTGAATGGTGGAGGAGAAGGGTCCTTATGTCAAATAATGATTCCAAGGACTTAGTGACCTGAGCCCACTCTATTCTAATAATAAAAATAATAATAATAATTGATTGGGACGATTCTGGGGTCATGTTTCTATACTTCATCAGAGTGCGTAATGTTATTTATGGTGCCGCATGGTGTAATATGGTACAAATAAAGGGTAATGGTAATAATGAAGGTTAGTGTATAATAAAAATAATAATAATACACAGTGCTGTCTCATATAACAGACAAGTAACATTTCAGACTCATATGTGATATATAATATACAGAGCTCTATATAGCAGTACACAGGGAGCAGTGTCAGTACTGTGTACTATTATAGTGTATACACAGTGCTGTCCCATATGAAGACATGTAAAGTATATAAAGTAAGATTAGAGACTCAAACGTCATAAAAATACATATTTACAAGAGAGGCCGATGCATGGCCAGTACAGCAGTATACAGAGAGCAATGTCAACACTTTGTACTAATATAGTGTATACACTGAGCTGCCCCATATAAAAAGACATGGAAAACTATAATATATATATATATATATATAT